GCCCTTCACAGACCCGCACGCCCGCGTCCAAGCGAGCCCAGCGCCGGCGCCGCCCGACCGCCAGGCCCCATCGGCACCCACGCCGCGGCGCCGCCCTCCGCTCCCGAGGCCTGGGCTCAGCCGGGCCACCCCGGAACAGCCGGGGAGGGCGGGGCCGCGGGAGGCCGCGCACTGACTGGCTGCGGGCGAGGCCGCGGGCGGAGGGGTAGCCGGGAGGCGACGAGGCAAGAGGAGGGGGCCTCCGAGCTGGAGGAAAGGAGGTGACCGGGCGATTGCTCCCAGGGACTAGGCGTGGAAAGCAGGCGTGGAGGAGGGAGAGGCGAAGACGGGAAGGAGAAAGGAAGTCGATGAAGGGAGAGAGAGCAGGAAAGGAGGAGCAAAAGTGAGAAAGGAAAAGTGGAAAGGGGCGAAATCGAGTTTCTGACTCCTCGGGCGGCGTCAGCTCTTTCTTGTAGAAGCGGGTCGGGAGCGGAAGGTGGTGGTGCACAGAGCAGTAGTGATGGGAGACTCGCAGGCGGGGTCCCAAATAACTGGCAGAGGGAATGCATTAGGCTGGCCGAAGGATGAAGTCCCAGCACCTTTTGGATTTGTGTAGAGTTCAGTGGGTTGGTATCCCGAGTCTGGGCTTACCCTTGCCTGCCCCACCCCCTTGCCCCCTAAAATCTCTGTGCCCCATTATTAGACGTAGAGGCGGTCATTGTGGTTGCAAACTGAACTCAGATTACAGAGGCAAGCCATCCGGTGCAGGGAGAGATAAGCGTGGACCTTAGTTCAGGGGACGTGAGCTAGTTTCATTCTCACAGGACTGATTATTCAGACACAGTGCTACTTCTCAAGATCCTCCCTTTAAGTATCCTAAGTCGTCTTTAGAACAAAGTGAAATATAAATAAATAAAATACCCTGCTTTTTCTAAACTAGAATTTGGTACACTGACCACGCCCGACGTTCTTGGCGGTTGCTATCCCAGTCTAAGCCAAATTGTTAATGGTCCCTTCAGAATCATGCTTCTTGCCATGATGCCTTAAAATTTTTATCACCTCGCTTGGGTCTTTCTAAAGCTTATTTCTGCCTAAGAGCTGTTTTAACTATCTGCTCCATTTTTATAATCAGATTTCTTTTTTTAACATCCTGGGTCAGCTTTTGCTTAGCATTAAAGAAACAGATTTAAGTAAAATACCTAGGAAAGAGACTATGCAGCTTGGAATTTACATTTAAATATATTTTCATACACTGCTGGTGGAAGTGTAAATTGGCTCAGTCTTTTTGCAAAGAAAGCAATTTGGAAACACAGATCAAGAGCCTTAGAAATGTTCATACCCTTTGACTCAGGATTATCCCACATGTGGGAATCTAGCTCACAGAAATAGTCCAAAAGAGAGACAAAGATTCATTTGATAATCAGATTAAAATGAATGTCCAACGAACAAACAAAACCCTATACTTATATGAAAACACAGAAATGCCTTGTGAGAAATAGAAGTCTGCTATATTAAATTTATACTGACAAATTAGCATTGTCCTGGGTACTCATGAACATTCAAAGAGCTGATATACAAGTGACATCTTTATGAGTTTTCAGAGGGTGCTCTGATATTCAGTTACTGTGTTATAAAGCCTTCTATGTGATCATTCTCTGCTAAGTATTCACACTGGCAGATGGACACATCACTTCGTCACTTCCCCAAAGGAGAGAAGCTGCATACTGATATCTTCAAAGGGATTGCTTTGTTCTAAATTTTGCTCTAGAAACTGTAGAAACCAAGACTTCCACAATGTCTATTAAACAGATGGTAGGCACCCAAGCGATGAGTGCTTTCTGAGGAGCATTGAGGAGTTGGCACTAGGAAGAGAGAACAATGTCATTGAGAAATTCTTAGCCATGGATGTTCTCCACCTTGCCTTTATCTTAGACCAGAGACAGAAATTCCCAGGAGAGAGTAATGTGGTAGTTAAGGGCCCCACAGAATCTGGCTTTATCCTGTACTAGCTGTATGACCTTAAATTTCTGTACAGCTCAGTTTCCTCACCTGTAAAATTGAGCCAATAATAATGCTGCAAACCCTGTGGGAACTCCTCATTAACTCCCCTCCTTACTTCACCTCTAGCATCACCTGTCTAACCATACTGCATGACCCAATCCACTCAAGATGTTTTATATAAACATGCCTTTGTGTGTGTGCTTTTCTACTTTTTTGTAACATCTTTATTGAGGTATAATTCGTATATCATAATTTCACCAGTTTAAAGGGTAGGATTCAAATAAATTGGTGCAGCCACCATGGAAAACAGCATGGAGATTCCTCAAAAAATTAAGAATAAAACTACCATGTGATCCAGCAATTCCACTTCTGGGTATTTATCCAAAGAAAATTAAAAACATTAACTTGGGACTTCCCTGGTGGTGCAGTGGTTAAGAATCTGCCTGCCAATGCAGAGAACATGGGTTCGAGCCCTGGTCCAGGAATATCCCACATGCCGTGGAGCAACTGAGCCTGCATGCCACAACTACTGAGCCCGCGTGCCACAACTACTGAAGCCCACGCACCTACAGCCTGTGCTCCACAACAACAGAAGCCACCGCAATGAGAAGCCCACGCACCGCAACGAAGAGTAGCCCCTGATCACCACACCTAGAAAAGGCCGCGCAGCAACGAAGACCCAACGCAGCCAAAAATAAATAAATTTATATATTAAAAAAAACACTAACTTGAAGAGATGTGTGTATCCCCATGTTCATTGTGGCACTATTTACAATAGCCAAGATATGGAAACAACCTAAGTGTGATCAGTGGATGGATAGAGAAAATGTGGTGTATATATACAATGGAATATTATTGAGCCATAAAAAGGAGACCTTGTCATCTGTGACAACATAGATGGACCTCGAGGGCATTATGCTATGTGAAATAAGTCAGACAGAGATAAATACTGTATGATCTTACATGTGGAATCTAAAAAAAAACAATGTAACTCATAGATACAGAAAACAGGTGGTTGCCAGAGGCAGCAGGTGGTGTGTAGGCAAAATGGGTGAAGGAATCAAAAGGTACAAACTTCCAGTTATAAAAGAAATAAGTCACAGTGATTTAAGGTACATAATGGTGGCTAAAGTTAATAACACTGTATTGCATATTTGAAAGTTGCTAATGGACCCTTCATACAAATGGGGATCATATGAGGTCTTTTGTGACTTGTTTCTCTCATGTAGCATAATGTTTTCAAAGTTCATCCATGTTGTAGCATGTATCAGTACTTTATTCCTTTTTATGACTGAATACTATTCCATTGTGTGGATATACTACATTTTGTTTGTCTATACATCAGTTGATGAGCATTTAGGTTGTTTCCGCTTTTTGGCTATTATGAATAAAGCTGTTGTGAACATTCATGTACAAGTTTTTGTGTGAATGTAGGTTTTCAGTTGTTCTGGGTAGATACTTAGCGGTGAAATTGCTTGGTCATATGGTAACTCTATGTTTAAATTTTTGAGGAATTGGCAAACTGAATTTTCCAAAACAGCTGTACCATTTTATATTCCCACTAGCAGTTTATAAGGGGATATAAAATGGTGCAGCCATTTTGGGTATGTAGGGTATCTCATTGGGATTTTGACTTGCATTTCCCCAATGACTAAATATGTTGAGTGTCTTTTCATGTGCTTATTGACCATTTGTATCTGTTTTTGGAAAAATGTCTACTCAGATCCTTGGCCCATTTAAAAATAGGATTATTTGTCTTTTTATATTGAATAGTAAGGGTTCATCATATATTCTGATGAATATCCCTTAGCAGATATATGATTTGCAAATATTGTCTCCCATTGTGGATTGTCTTCTAATTTTGTTGATATTGCACCTTTGAAGCATGAAAGTTTTTAATTTTGATAAAAAGTCTATTTTTACCTATTTTTTCTTTGTTTTTTTGTGCTTTGGACCTCACACCTAAGAAACCATTGTCTAATCCAAAGTCATGAAGATTTATACTTGTTTTCCTCTAAGAGTTTTACAGTTTCAGCTCTGACTTTTAAGTCTTTAATCCACTTTGAGTTAATTTTTGTATATTGTATGAAGTAGGGGTCCAACTTCATTCTCTTGCATGTGGATATCCAGTGTCCCAGCATTTGTTGGAAAGACTGTTCTTTACTCCATTGAATTGTCTTGGCACCCTTTTTGAAAATCAGTTGACCATAAATGTTTGAGTTTATTTCTGGACTCAATTCTATTTCTTCTTTATGTCTACATTAGTCTTTATGTCTGTTTTTATGCCAGTACCACACTATCTTGGTTACTGTAGTTTTATAGTAAGTTTTGAAGTTGGGAAGTATGAACCTCCAACTTTATTCTCCTTTTCAAGATTATTTTGGCTTTCTGGATTTCTTACATTTCCATATATATTTTATCAGCTTTTCCATTTCTGAAAAAAAAAAAAAAGACAGCTGGAATTTTGATGGGAAATGTGTTGAAACTGTAGATCAGTTTAGTGAGTATTGCCGTCTTAACAATATTAACCTTCCAATTGAGGAACATGGATGTCTTTCCACTTATTTATGTCTTAAGTTCCTCTCAATGACATTTCATCGTTTTCAGTGCACAAGATTTGCACTTCTTTTGTTAAATTTACTCCTAAGTATTGTATTCCTTTTCATGCTATTGTAAATAGCATGATTTTCTATTTACAAATAGATTTATTGTCTTTATTTCCTTTTCAGATG